AATTTAATTTTGCATCTTGCCTATCTAAACATCTTGACATTGGCCTTTCTTGATCTCTTTTTAAGAACCTCCTACCATTTCTGACACTCCCAATTCAGCACATCTTCAGAACAGTGCTGCAGGAAAGAGGTGCTCTGTGGCTCGTAAGCTTTGCTGGGGACTGAGCTTTAGGGAGGAGTTTGGTACAAATAGATGATGCTTTGTACCAGCAAGTGTTTAGGCAGCTCCATGCTACCACAGGAGATGGAAGGATTTCTCAAATATGCGTTCATGAGTAGGGATGGGTACCTTTGACATTTGAATCGATTCGGTACCATTATCCGGTATGTGGGAATCGGTACCGGTACTTAACAGTACCAATTTTCCATCCTTTCTCTGTGTTGTTTTTTCAATAATAAACTTTTATTTTTTTATTTAACATGTTTCTCAATATATAAAATTAACAAATATCAAGACAACATCCAACTCTTTGTATTGTAACATTGGTTTTTTAACTTATTTCTTTAAAGTGCAAACTCTTGAAAACAACAAGACTGTGTTGTCTTATTTTGCACAAATTAAAATCCAGCTCCACATGTTTCTATTGATGTCATTTCCCCGCTAGAAAAATTGTGTGATGGAGGTCCATGGAAGGTAAATAAGTTTAAATCAAATAAGGAAAAGAGGATGGAGTTAAAATAAAAAGTATTTAAGCTATGTCGTGAGCATCCAAAATGCACCCAACACTACGAGTTGACTGCTTGTGCTCTTTCAGGTCAGACGTGTTCGGACTGTCGGGAAGCATCGCTGTTGTTTTCCTCTGTCGGTCTCTGTTTAATGGTGGATGAAATAAAGAAAGGGGGGGGGGGGGTACTTTATTTACTTATAGCAAGTGAACGTCGTGCTCACCAGATAATTAATCCACCAGACAATTCAGAGGCGGTCTGTTCTGCGAGTTTCACTCCAGGAGCTGCAAGGCTCGCTTTCAAGCTACATTCAGACAGAGCTCTGTTTAATCAACCAGTGGCTGCTGATGTCATTACGCTCTTGCGCGATGCTGCGTTCAGAACAAGCATGGAAAACTCACCACTCTTACGCCAAAACGGTTGCAATGATGCTTTTAGGTACCGAAACATGGTACCATTTGATGTTACGTGAATAGGTTCTCGGTAGTACCGACAGAATTCGGTCTGTGCATAAAAAAGTATCGAATTCGGTACCCATCCCTATTCATGAGTCAAAGCAACGCTTTGGGTGTGTTTTTGATGAGGTAATGACAATAGCATAACATTTAAGCTAAAAAAAGTGGATTTTGCGTAATACCCGATTTTTAAAGACATGGCTCTCTGCTCTGATGATTTACAAGACTTTTTTTTTTGTTATTTAGCAAAGCAAAAATAATTTTGTATGTACGTCCATCAAAAGTTAGGGACAGAATTGAAAGCCAGTTTTGGCATTTCAGTGTTATCACGCTGCAACACAGAGTGTTTGAGCAGGAGGACTCAGTGGGAGGGACAGATTTGAACAGTTTGGAGGACTCCTAATGTCTATCACTGGCAGATGCATCACCCTCTCTCACTTCTTCTGTGGTCTTTTTTTCTATTAGATCTTATTCTGCTTCCCTGTCATGGTCAGATGTCCTGTTTGAATCAATGGCCAGATTGATTTGGTCAGTTGCATGCAATTGTCAGTGAGTGGTTTATTACAAGTTAGTGGGCATGTATGTGGCTCAGACAGTTGTAGCCCAAGTTAATGTATCAAATTCTAGGTCATTGTGTTTGTTGGTGGGTCAGCCTTCATATCAATCACCGCCCTACATTTGGTTAGGATGGCTGTATTTTTAGTTGACGTCCACACGTATTGGTGGGTACATCAGTTGGTTTTGCTGAGGGCAGACTTGGCCAAACCACCTTAAAATAGCAAAGCCACAAAGCCTGTTTTTGGGCAAAAAAATTAACTTTTTTGTTTTGTTTTGATTTGTTTTGTTTTGGTTTGTTTTGACCTAAGTACAAAATTGAAACTCAATTAGGGCATTGCACAGACGTGTATAGAGGCAAGTTTGAACTTTCTGCCAAGGCTTTCATACAGTTTTGATGTAAATCATAAATCTGAAATAAACTCCTTAAACGCAGAATGATTTTATGCGCTTGGTGGATTTCACCAGCGCACAGAGCTTGTGCTTTGCATTCTACTGTACTAAAGCTATTTCTCTTTCAATCCTTATRTTAACTTAGTCTAAAGGTCTCGACACATGGGAGGCGACGTCACTCGTTCTCCATTCATTTCCTATGGAGCCTGTGCGGTGAGGCGACAATCGCTTGCCCTCCTCCAGCTAAGCGACTGGCGAAAATAGTGCATGTGAAATTTCGCGCTCGTACACGTAGACGTGCACACGCAAGCTTGCGATGCGACATATGAAAGTTGAAAAATGTTCAACTTTTGTCGCTGTCGCTTAGCGAACAACCAATCAGCGAGGGTTTCATTGACTGACCAATGAGAGGAGAGTATGCTACACACTGCAGTTAGCTAACACTTTCACCAAGTGATTACTGAAAAGCTTTGTGGGAATTTATTGGCACCAGGGTGAAGTTTATGGTAAGTTTTTCCTCATAAAACTGTATCTTGATGTGTGTTTGTTTTTCAATATCATTAGCATCGCAAGATTTGTTTAGTTTACACGTCCGTAATGCACACCCGCCTTCAGACTCAAGAACCAATCAAATTTTGTCAAGACAAGCGGCCTGAGAGCGCGATTCGCAACACTGCGATCGTTATCGCCTCCCGTGTGTCGGGTTTCACCCTGGCTGCGATGACAGCCGCTAATCGCTGTAGTTTGTCGTTCCCCGTGTGTCGAACACTTTAGGGCTGTATTTGGAGCTTATACATTGGAATCTTGAAATGATGTAGATGTTTCCAAATATATGAGGATGCAAATGTCCAAAAATTTCTGCCTGCACAGTTTTTTTTCTGTTTTTTTTTCTCCAACCTTTTGGAAAAATTCTTAGAAGACCCGTGTTGTAAAATAATGTGGAAAATATAGCGTCAGATCATCTGAAACTGATAAAAAAGTTATGCTGCTTTTGATCTGTATGCTGCTTTTTATTTGCTCTTGTCCAGCGTTGATACTGTACGTTTGTACTGTACTGTACATGTTGTATTGACATAAACTCTAAAAGGAACCACATCTGCTATTTTTAACATGATTTAAGTGCTCCAACTGTTTCMAAACCATGCTGAATCATGTCCTACATTTTAGACTAAACTATTTTCCCCCTGAAAACCTTTACTTGCAAAGGAACAGTAGAGTCCATGTTCATTTTTCCACACAGACTCCTGAACATATTCTGTACTGATTTGTGAGAACTGCTGCAGCGCGACAGTTTGTGTGCTCAGCAGCATGCACGCTGTCACACATTTTCTTTTGTTATTTGTCTTAGTAAAAGTTTTTGCAGCCTGTTGATTGTGGTTTTTATGTGCACTCACAGTGACTGGTAGATGGGTTAAAACGTGCTTTTTGGACCACTCTAAAACAAATGACTGTATACCTCAATATTATTCATGCCTGAGTAAGATGATGTGTGACTATGTCTCTGTGTTTGTGATTGTTAATCTTCCAGAGTGAGATATGCAACTTTTATAACAAATTCATTACCATCATTCATTTTTTCTTTCTAAGTGTGTAACTCAGACTTTTTTATGGATGAATCATATTCTTTTTAGAATTAAAAAGAGTTGCTGGGTTGCTGCCTTTTAGTAAGATTCAGTAACCCACTGTGTGTGTGTATATGTATACATAGTGTGTATATACACATATGCACACATGTACTTCTCACCTTACTCTAAGTGAGCTGTGGAAATGAGACATCATGACTTACCAGATAAACTCCCCTCTCATAAATTCTCTTTGTTCTCACTTCTAATCTCAACCCCATTTTATCTCCCACTCTTCTTTTGCACGGCAAAGATCTTGGGCCACTGTTACCCTTTTATTCTTCTAGTTACAATATCGTTTTAGAAGGAATATATACTTGAATAAAAAATATATTTCATTTATGTCCTGAGAGAATTTGGTATAAAAGTCAAGTCTTCAAAGGGTCCCATTAATGGAAAAAAAGCTGTTATTAATTTTTTTCATCTCAACATATTGAAAAGAAGAATAAATAGTTCTAGGATTAAAAAAATGCTTAGAAATATAGTTGTAGAATTGAAAGGGACCTTGGCCGGAGCCTTGATGTCCTCCACAGCTGTTCTATTTATCTACAAACAGACCAACGTCTTCAGCAATTTTATCTTTTCTGTGTGACTGAATGATGTATTTAGTATTTATCTTGCACGGACCTTAGTTTTTTATTAACAAGTTTAGCACAAGCGTCACATAAAATGAAACCGTGATTTTAAAAATTTTGTAGATTAAATAGTCTTTCCAGTCTATTCTGTTGTTAAAATTGCAGTTGAATCTAAACATTAAAGCTGTTGTAACCAATAAGCAGTATGCATGGTATWAAGAGGAAATACTGAGAGAGAAATTTCCAAAGCACTTGGTCAAGCAGAGCTAACTATCCCTGATTTACCATATCAAGTAGAGGAAATGGTTCCCCACAGGTGTTTTACAACAGAGCACCAGAAGGAAGCAGTAATTGGTCAGCATGGTGTGTGGAGTGGCTCTAAAGATTAATTGTGCAAAACATAGTTAAAGTTTATTTATTTAGCCAACCAGCCTTATAATTTTGGAGACCGAATGTGTTGTGTGTGTGTGTGTGTGTGTGTGTGTGTGTGTGTGTGTGTGTGTGTG